TATATCTATATTGTTCAAGTTATTTCAGGAGAATGTGTTATTTTTCAATACGTGGTATGTTTAACTGCTTAAATATACTAATAATAATTATTGTTTAATATTGAATATGACATCAATAGATTAATAATTGTATTTTGTAACATTTTTTATAATGGATTAAATATGTCGCTATTAACACTGATTTAGAATATTTTGTTAGTCTGTGATAATTTGTTGGATTGGGAGATATACATGGTAATTTACCTATACCGTACCGTTACCGAATCGAAACTTCGGTATACCGAAACTTCGGTAAGGTAACGGTATATAAATTTTGTATACTGAAAGTTTTGGTACGACAAAGGTATAAGAAAATATATTCAGTATACCGTACCGAACCACCCCTAGTTATGATGATGCCCATATAGACATAACTATTTTTTTTGGAAGAATTGAAGGTGGCTTATATTAAGATAATAGAACGTAAGCATGATACAACCAGGCAAAGAGTCCATTGTCTACCATTTGCCCTTGAACCAGACATATATAGAACCTGCCACCTCCATAGAAGCAACCAGATTCACTGATCTTGAATTGGGCTTACATGAACCAATGATTTGTAAACTACACTCTCCATCACCTGTCCTATGTTCTAGAGTTCTAGCATGAATAAAAATAAAAGCAAACAAAAACACACGATGTCCAAAACAAAAAACAACATGAAAGAAAATAAGTCTAAATTGAAAAAATCTTTAACATGCAGAGAGCACCAAAACTTCATGGATTTTGGCGGGCGTGGATGCTCCAGCCCGCCTTTTCTCTATTTTTTGCTTCATCAAGAGCCATGACAGTCACCTCTAAGTTCTCCTGCTCATGTGCTTCCCAGGTACGCCTTCTCTTCCATTCTCCTGGTCCGCTGCTACTCTGTCCCGCCCCATCCTTATTAAGTGGCCGCATTCCTCCCTAGATTTAATCTTCTGTGTTGCTCTGGCCCCGTTTAAGCTTCTCCTTGTAGTTTCTTTCCGTCTTAGTTATACCTCTCCCGACACCTCCATCACTCACAAGCCATTTAATACCCAAAGATGGGCGAGGCCTCCCTCCTCCCGCCCGTAACCACGGACCAAAAGATTTAACAATATTTTTATCCCATTTTTCATACAATAAAGGGCAAAAACCTCTCAACATGTCCTATAATTCCACAAGCAAAACAAAAACTTAGAAGTTTTTCGTACGTGAAATCAACACAATAGTCTTCCCCTTTACTCTTCTTCAAGGTTGTTCCCACCTTCAAGGGGTTTCTCACATCCAAATTCACCTAACCCTCATATAGGTCTCCCATATCTCATAGAATTGGTTATCATCCCAGGTAATAAATTTCCCTAGGTGGTTCCCAATTCTCCGAGTGGTGCCTAGATTCGAAAATCCATATGGAATATTGTGCATCTGAACCCAAAAATCAGCCGAATCCAGGGGGACCTTCGGAGGAATATCACTCAGTTTTATGACCCTTAGCACCAACATGTTTTAATCAAACAACTATGGTCCATTTTCCAACACACGAGTCATATCAACTATATGATAAAATTTAAACAGATACCTCCTCTCTCCAATCTCTTGGATGCACACTCCTGTGCTCGGACGCCAGAGCCACCATCAAGTCTATGAAAATTTGGAACATCACCACTTTGTCTGTGAGAATCATGCCCACTACTGGAAATGTAATCGCCTCCCTTTCTGCCGCACCGAAATCAGTCTCTGTGCCTTCGTCATCCTCTAGTAACAACTCGTCCGGTACTGGTCCCAAACCCATGCCGACATGCTTGTCTATGAGCTGCTCCAGATGTCCGCTCCCTCCAACCGATGAAGCCTCCCCATCTTTGTCGTGCTGTTCGCCGCTGCCTTATACCTGGACACCGCCCGATGCCATAGCCATTCCCTTCCTTTCGTCCGTCAATCCCAAGCCGCACAAAATCGGCAAAGTATTACCACACCTCAAACCACAGAAACCCTATCAAGTGAAAGGCAGCGATTTTTTGTGTGAGCATTCTTAAGTTATGACATGACTCTTTTAAAACCTATCTTCTTTAGAGAGGGGGGAATTCGAGATATATACTCTCTCAGTCCCCGAAAAGGTTTGCCAATTCAAATTGATTTTTGTAGTCAATTGCAATCAACTTTGACCAATGATAATTTTGACCACGAAATTATTCAAAATATGAAAATTATATCAAAATGTTCACTACTCAAAATATTTTTATAAAAGTATAAAATTTATAAATTACATACAAATATAATAATGAAAATTATTGTGCAAAGTTTGCCAGAATTGATCGAGAAATATCAATATGCCGATTTTTTTAGGGACATAGTCACGTAGGTAGTATATAAAATCATACTGTACGTACGTAGTAATGATTATGGGAGTAGAACATTGGGAGTGAGGGAATTCGATTAATATGGAGATGGAGGAATTCGTCTGGGAAATGAAAGCAATAAATGCGGGCGAGATGATTGCCTTTGCCCTCCCAACTACCTGGCGTTACTGCACTCTGTTATATCCTTTCTTTCTCTCCATAATAAATAAATTCAGAGCTAAGAGCCGTCGTTGTAATGGAGCGAGCCAAATCAATGGCGGAAGAGGAGAAAACAGAGCCATTGTTGAAGCAGAGCCAGCGAAAAGATGATGATGAGAGCTGCCCCGGTTGCCGGGTCGAGCTTCTCAAACGCGCTGACGCCGGCGTTCCGGTCAAGCACGTCTTCTTCATCTCCATCGTCACCCTCTGCGCCGGTCCGTTAATCACGTCTACCCCTATACCTGACTTCTCTCTTTTTTTGTTGTCACTTCAACAAAATGCACGTGATATTTTGGGTATATAAGTCAAATAAGCAGGACATTGACTCTCTTTGTTAATTTTGTTTTTGGGCTTATAAAGGAGTGTTTGGGTTTGCTTAAAAAAAGCACTTTTCAGCTTTTGACTTAAAAAAAGTTGAAAAGAATGTTTTCAAGTGACAGCTTCTGCTTAAATTAATCACTTAAAAGCTAAAAGCTGGAAGCAGGTAGAAGGGTGCTTTAAACTGCTTCTCACTTTTTCTATTACACAAAAAGTACTTATTTTACCAAACACTACCAACTTTTAATTTTCCAGAATCACTTTTTCTCAAACACTACCAACTTTTACTATTAATCACTTTTCTCAAAATCACTTTAAAAAATCACTTTTTTAAAGTTGAAGCAATTGCAAACACTCCCTAAGTCTTTTATCACCTTTACGTTAAACACGTAATTTTTAATTTTGTACGCTGAATTGTGTAATAATAAAAATAAATAAGGTCGAAGTTATTTTTCTGAAATGCATTGACCAAAGTTATTGTAAATGATAATTTTAATTATTTTTTCATATACTACATGTATTTTTCTTTATTTTATTAATGAAATATATTTTGATTACAATTTTTTTAATAAAGCAGCCGAGTAAGTCTAGCCAATAATTCACAAATTTTGTTGGAATCAACTAATTTAGTCAACTTTGTACTTGTATCCTAAAACTAAAATCATACTCTGTACTAGGTAAAAATTGCTTTTTTGTACAGGGTGACTTCTATATGCCCGTGTTACTAGACAAACCCTACCATGAAAAACGTACAGACGTGTACACAAAGAATGTATGTGAAACAAAATTGAATAATAAATTACTAGAACAGACTTACAGACATGTTCTTTGGGTAATTCTTTTTAGTACTTTTGTGCTTCAGTAATTTTATGATTGTTATCTAATTTTGAGTATTTTGATATTGTTCGAGAGTTATAACTATATCACCAGTCCTAACAATTTTTAAAAATGCTATGATAAGTACATATTTGTCTACACGCTCCTTACATTTTGTTTGTAGAGGTTTCCCTAAAATGTTATGTAGTACTGCTTAAAAATCTGTGGGAAAAAATGTGGCTATATGTTATGTAAGTTTGTATACATTATGATCTAACATCTTAATATAATTATAGTCACTAAAGTTACTAGAGTCATATTTGTGTTCACTACTTTTATACTACGTACGTAGTAATATTTATATATTTAGAATTACTCTTCTTATCTGTAAAGTATTATGGAGACAATTTGTGTGTTATTATATACTCCGTACGTAGTACAAGGATGTTTTTACTTGGACTGTAATTTGTTGGTCTGATCTGATTTGGTCTGATCTGGTTTCTTTGTATTTTTATAACTACCCAAGTCTGGTCCGGTCTGATCTGATTTATTCTGGTCTGAGACAAATTACCGTCCAAATAAAAATATCCTAATTATATACCGAATCATGGTTTAACAATTCGAATAAGCCAAACATCTAGTACTATTTGGAAGGGTTGGTTATGGTGATTGGTGGCCCTTTGAGTTGAAAGTGAAAAATAACTAAATGATAATTTCAACTTATTAGAAAAAGTAATAAAGGCGTAATAATGAGAAAGAGTAATAAAAGTATTTCAATAGGAGCTAATGTACGTCGTATAATATGGAGTAGGAGTTGCCAAAGTAGATGTACTCCTAGTAATTCCTAGGAATAGATACTACTGGTGCGGAATATTAGACATATTTTCCGGGAAAAGTGTCAAATAAGCCCCCTCTATTAATACGAAAAATTCAATTAAGTCCCCGAACTAAAAAAAATCAATTAAACCCACAAACTATAAAAAATGAGGCAAAAAAAACCTTTTAGCATGTAATTAACCGGTTCCATTAGTCCACGTGTCGCACACGTGTTGCCATTTGTGGCTACCTGTCGGCTGTCGACACGTGTAAAGGTTTACCGGGAACCGGTTAATTACATGCTAAAAGGACTATTTTGCCTCGTTTTTTATAGTTCGTGAATTTAATTGAGTGTTTTTTAGTTCGGAGGCTTAGTTGACTTTTTTCGTATTAACAGGGAGCCTATTTTAAGCTTTTCCCAAATTTTCCTAAATAGATACGGAGTACGAGTATTATTTAAGAAATACGGAGCAAAATAAGAAATAAAAGAAGAAGGCTGGAGGACGTATGCGGAAGTGCGGAACCGAAGGGGAAGAAGAAGCGCCGGCACGCAGTCACTAAGCCAGGCTCTAACACGTCTCACGCCCGGTCACCTGCACTCCGCCACCTCCTTCGGCGATTCCACCGATCGGCCCTTCTCAATTTTCACCTTCCGTTGTTCCGCCGCGCAGGAGATCTCTTGGAGGTGACAGAATCCATATCAAGGAACTTGCTCGCGAAGGACATTTTTGTGCTTCTGCCCAGATTATATTTGGCTGCTGCGTTCTGAATACTGTGTGATTTTGATTGGGTCGAGAGGACTGATTAGCCATGGGAGAAAGAAAGGTTTTGAACAAGTACTACCCGCCGGATTTCGATCCGGCGAAGATTCCACGCCGTAGGTAGCCGAAGAATCAGCAGATGAAGGTCCGGATGATGCTCCCAATGAGCGTTAGGTGTAGTACTTGTGGGAATTACATCTACAAGGGCACCAAATTCAACTCACGCAAAGAAGACGCCCTGGGTGAGACCTATTTGGGTATTCAAATATTCAGGTTCTACTTCAAGTGCACTAAGTGCTCTGCAGAGATTGCATACAAGACAGATCCAAAAAATTCCGATTATGTTGTTGAGTCAGGTGCAACCAGGAACTTTGAGCCTTGGCGAGACCAAGACTGAGGTTTTGGATAAAGAGAAACATAAAAGGGAGGCTGAAGAAATGGGTGATGCTATGAAATCTTTGGAGAATAGGACCCTGGATTCAAAAAGAGAAATGGATATTCTCGCAGCTTTGGATGAAATGAAATCCATGAAGTCGAGGCATGCAACTGTGAGTGTGGATACAATGCTTGAGGCTCTAAGAGACTCTACCGAGGAAAAGGAAAGAAAAAGGGAGGAAGAAGAGGAAGCTCTTATTAAATACTTACGGGAGAAAGACCAAAAATGACATCAAGGTTTTTAACAAAGTTCAAATTAGACACTAAAATAAACAAGGTTAAAAGAGCAACTCCCTTTTATGTTTCTCTTTATCCAAAACCTCGTCTTGGTCTCGCCAAGGCTCAAAGTTCAAATTAGACACTAAAAATGACCAAAAATTTTAAGTAGATCAAATAAACACAAAGTTATAGTTTTTGGTTCCATTTTGACCACCTTTGATGCTAACATTTCCCTTCGTTAACTCCCCATCCGATTTAAGTTACTTGGATTCAACAGAGTAGGCAACAATGGAGGCCAATCGCCCCATCCGCGTCACAGCCTCGCCGTCCGTTTGCCTCGCCGTCGAAGCCGTCGCTGCATCGAATATAGCTACCACCATTGTTTAATCTCTGCTTCGTTGTCAAATATTTGGATCTGACTGTGCTCCTTTCGATCTGAGCATCTCGCCGGCAGCTGGGTGAAGTTGCAGTTGTAGCCGCGACAATAGGTGAGGGAGAAAAGGCAGCTTGGTTAGAGATAGCGACTTACAGCCATGCTCTCCGTCACATCCGGGTCTAGAATTCTTTCTACATTGGAATATTCCATTAAAAATGTCTACCCTAAATTTCCTAAAACTGTCCAAAACGCACAAACCTCATACTTCCATGTTCCCACTTCGGCATCTCTGTTTTGTGTTGTTGACTCGCAGGGAGTTATAGCCTCTCTGGTGGGGACTGGTTTAGGAGGGGGTTGTGGCTGGGGCTCGGGTGGGCGATGGTTTGGGAGGCTGGGATGGCTGGTCAGAGCTCAGGCTAGGGAGGTCAGACCGGGGTTTGGCTGCTACGGAGTATGATTTAGAGCTGGGGAGGTGGCAAGGGCGGGACAGGGTTGGGGAGGGGAAGGGTGTTGGACTGCGGTGGGGCAGGGGCTGGTGTGGACAGCCTTGCAGGGGATTTCAAAGTGAACGATGGGGAGTTAAACGGTTGTTTAACGGAGGTGTTAAAGGGTGGTCAAATTGGAACCAAAAACTATAGTTTTGTGTTTATTTGGTCTAGTTAAAACTTTAGTGTCTAATCTTAATTTTGTTAAAAACCTTGATGTCATTTTTGGTCTTTCTCCCAATACTTATTCAAAGGAGAGAGAGAGAAGTTCATAAGACGAATCCGTGATGAAGATATTGAAGATGAGGATGAAGATGATGAGGATATAGATGTAGTTGAATATAAAAGTGGAGAATCATCAATCAATTTTCTTAAGAGAAAGCAGCCTGGAGAAATAAGCATTAATCCTACAAATGTCTTTGCAAAATCATCAACTGTTAAAGTGGCTATTGTGAAGAAGCAGCAGCCAAGTGAGCCAACAAGCCTGAAAAGCAATGTATTAGTATCATTGTGTAAAGAATATGAAAGTGATGAGGATGAATAGTTGGTCCTCTGCATTTCTTTCTCAAAACCGGACCAGGAATACCGGGTTATGAATAGACATAAATTCGGTTCATCCCTACAGTGCTATGTACTTTTGCCATAAATTATTTTTCTTTGGCAAACAAGAAACATAATGTAATACCTTTGTTTAAATTCTAAATTGTGTACTCTAGATGTGAATTAGAATTAGAAATTTAACTATGTCAATTGTGTCATTAAAAAAAAATACAAAGTATTCCTAAATAGATATTAGACATATTCCTAAATAGACATTAGGCTACTAGTAAGTTCAATCTTGCTTATTTTGATTATTATGCAATTCAACGTGTGAAACAAATATTGTTAAAAAATAATGGTTACCAAAGGGGGTCTCTCAAATTTCAAAACACAAAATACATCCTACCGGTCTATATGCACTACAACTAGAACTTGTGTAGACAGCAATAAAAATTGTAATGCCATTGTAATCTTAGTGAACAAGATGTGACTATATTACTGTATATAATAATTGGACTCAAATGCCATTTTAAATCGTTGATCATACATTTGTTCTCACTGCACCATGAACTAACACTAACTCTGAGTTCAACATTGGATGGAGTAATGGTATAAGGTTTGATTTTTATAATTAGCACTTGTTGTTAGAGCCTATTTTATCGTAACTTTTATATGTCCAGTCTCACGTTAGTACATACTTTTGGTTTTTTTTGCAGCTCTGCCAATATCATCTCTCTTTCCTTTCCTATATTTCATGGTAAGATTATTACTAAAAATATAATATTTCATGGTAAGATCTTAGATCTGAGGAATGAGTCTAGCTTAAGTGATTTAAGCATTTTTTTATGAGATTTTTCTGAAATTGTCATAAGAATGTTTTCAAAGAGCAGAAATACTCCTTCCTTCCCACAAAACTATTAAACTTTCCTTATATTCAGTTGTTCTAATATGCAGTTAAAATTATTTTATCTCTTCTCTCTGTAAATCTCAATCACAATTTTCTTCTTCTTATATTATGTGTAAATCAAGTTTGATCAAATTTTATGAGATAGATGTAGCACTTTCTGCACCATCATAGCCACTTTCACTATCACTATCATTAAAGAGCCCAATGTTAAGTTATTATTAAGAGCCCAATGTTAAGTTATGTCACGTTGATACAAACCAATAAAGCTTTGAGTTACTTCAGCTGATTGATATTTTAGCATGAAACTCAATTTCTATAAGAGCAATTAAGTTTGTACGAGCCACATCCTACATCCTAAGTGCAAAGAATGAGCACATGAACTTGAAGATTAGAATGATCTACTCCAAGAAGTGTAGAATGGAACCCAAGCTTCTATTTTTTTGGGTTTTGCGTAATTATTGGGTTAACTCTCACAAGTAATTATGCCAGTCTTTTAATTTTAATTTTGGCAGGTTAGAGATTTTAACATTGCAGAAAGAGAGGAAGATATTAGTTATTATGCTGGATATGTCGGTTAGTAGTTCTTGGTCCACTGTTCTAGAAAATTCCCGCCAAATGCTAAACTGAACAACCTTCTAAAATCTTCAACTTAACATGATAGTTTTGGCAATGTTACCACAGGCTCATCATTCATGCTGGGAAGAGCTTTGACATCTGTTCTTTGGGGTATCATTGCGGATCGATATGGCAGAAGGCCTGTCGTTATGATTGGCACACTTACAGTGTTAGTAAAATGGGGCTTCCTCCCATATTACTAAGATAGTTTGATTGACAAAGAGTGTGATCACTTTTAAATTAATCTAAAAAAAGACGAAAGATGTTACTTTTAACATGTCACACTCATGACCTTCGTCTCTAGTGACACCGTCGCCGCCCCACATGTCAGGCAGCAGCAGTGGCGCTGGCTGCCAGCGATAGTGACAGTTCAAAGGCTGGTGTGGGAGGGAGAAAAAAGTATAGGGATAGAATTTGTTTCAGAATTATTTAGTCCTATTTTGGTTACTTTTCTTAAAAATGAAAATATCAAAAATTGTGGTCATTTTGTCATGGAAAAGGTAGAGATTATATTTTTTTGGGTCATACTTTCTCGTAATATTTGTCTTAAAACAATCAATTTCAGTTATTCCACAAACATTTTTTTATGATAGTATTTTTTCCTTTTTTCTAAGCCTTCACGTTGATGAAATGATTTACAGGGTTGTATTCAATACCCTTTTTGGCCTAAGTTTAAACTATTGGATGGCAATTGTTACAAGATTTCTTCTTGGAAGTTTGTGTGGAATAATTGGTACCATGAGGGTATGTTTGGTATCACTCTTGGAAATTTCAGTCATCAATACAAACAATTTTTTTTGTTATAGTATGACCAATAACCATGTTTGATCACATTCCTTCTATAGGCATATGCTTCTGAGATTTGCCGGAAAGAGTATCATGCTTTGGGCATATCTGCTGTAAGTTGTTGCTCATATTCCCCTGTGGTTGGTTGTATACTTGTATTAATAAAGTAGTCTAATGCAATGTTATATCCCCCCCGCTAGGGGGGCCATACTAGACTCGGCCTACCCCAAATTCGAAAAATGCTTTGAATTTATGTGTAAAAAGAAAAATGTTTAAGTTTATTTGAAAAAATCCTTTGTATCAGCTTAGCCCACTATATCCTCCGGGGTTCGCCATCGCTCCCGTATGTCTTTAAATTTATATGTGTGACTTCTATACACTTATAGTTACAATTAGTATGGTGTTCCAGGTGAGCACATCTTGGGGTATAGGTTTGGTGATTGGTCCTGCTATAGGAGGTTATTTTGCACAGGTAAAACATGTTTTCCCTTTGGAAACTTGCTGCCACTTATGTTTATTTATTTTGTTCATCTTGGCTTCTGCATTTCTAATTACTCATTTGTTTTTTTTTCTTTTATAAAAAATAAATCAAATTTCAAGCCTGCAGAGAAGTATCCAAACATATTTTCAGAAGAGTCATTTTTTGGGAAGTAAGCTATGTGTATAGTTGCTCTTTTAAGTGTATCTATATAGTTGTTCCCCACTTACCTGTTTTTGTTTCTCAGCTCAGCATTTTGTTTTTACCACTTTTAAACTTGCAGATTCCCTTACTTCCTGCCTTGCCTTATGATATCAGTGATTGCATTGATTGCGTCAGTCGTTTCCCTGTGGCTTCCGGTATGATTCTTTATACCTCTCATACCATTAATAAATGTCCCACATTCAGAAAATATATCAATAAATCAGTATATAATGCTACATGATCAATTAGGTAAATGGTTGGATTTCATCTTTTAGGGTTCCGGTAGCTGGAATCGATCCAAACCGGTTTCGATTTCTCTAAAATAGGACCGGAATCGAACTGTTCCAGATGTTTTTTAATTGTTTCATTTTTGAAGAATAAGCGAAAACCCTGGAACTGGAATTGGTTTACATGGTTAAGGACTTAAGATGCTGATCTCTCTTACCCAGAACCAGCTAGTCTGGGACTAGACTAGAACCGGCCGGGTCCAACCTGCTTTTGAGTATGAGCTTGACCCATAAACATAATTATGACTCAATCTCTACATATTGATTTGAATTAGGAAACGATGCACACTCATACGAAAGGAAACAAACAGGGAGATGTTTCCAAGTATCCTAAACAAGAGGCTCCAAGTTCAAAGAAAAGCCTTATGAAGAATTGGCCCTTAATATCATCTATTCTTGTCTATTGTGTTTTCCAACTTCATGATATAGCTTATTTGGAGGTACGAGAACTAGTTCTTTTCTTTCTTAATGAAATTATGATTGTTCAATACGGTTATCTTTTTTCTTTTCCCCCTGATAACTCCCTGATAACTCCCGGTGTCCGATATTAATCCACCCCCCAAACTCACACATTAGAATTTGAACTACTCCTTTTACATTAACATTTCAGGGTGGAACTTAAGTACTAATAGGCTCACAGTTCAAATTAAGTTCAAAAGTACCATCAATCTAAGACCCTAAAAGATTACACTGATTATAAGATTTTTGTGTGCTCCAACAAACTGTACGCTACATTAGACCCGCCTTACTATCTTGATTTCTTCTAACTTGAGATACTCGTCAGATCTTTTCTCTGTGGGCTGTTAGTCCAAGAAAGATTGGGGGGTTGAGCTTTACAACTTCAGATGTTGGTCAAGTCTTGGCTATTACAGGTACACAAGTACATCACAACTGCTACATGCCTACATACATACAAATGTTCATTTTCAAAGTAATTTTTGGTTTCCTGTATTAACTGTACTTAATGATCCTTAAAAGTAAGAAGCAACTGATTTTTATTGTATTGCTTCTGCAATGCAATATTCTTGTACTTCTAGGCATGGGACTTTTACTCTTTCAGCTTTTCATTTATCCGTTGGTGGAGAAGCCGCTTGGGCCTGTCATGATATCACGTGTTGGAGCAGTATGCCCCTTACCGTCTCTAAGTTTCATTTTTGTTGTTGCAAAATGGTATTTAAGATTGTTGGCTATTTGGTATGACATTGAGCTAACAAGTAACAACTTCTTAATATCTATAAACAATTACGTAGTACAATATTTCTGATCTATAGAGGAATGGTGGACTTCAACCTTAAAAGGAATACAAAACTATTATAAAACAGAGAAAATTATGAATCTGTATTACTATCAAATCTCTTGATTATATCCAAATCATGTTCTGTCAAATCCTACAAGTATTTATTACGGAGTATTGTTCATTTTATTGTCTTTTGGGTTTGATGCAGGCTCTAAGCATACCATTGCTATCAAGTTATCCTTACGTAGCTATGCTATCGGGTTTGGGGCTCTCCCTAGTCCTTAATTGTGTGTCAATGCTTAAGAATGTCCTCTCTGTAAGCACTTATATACCGAATTTTCATCTCAAAACATTGCTTATCATATTTGCTTCTCACACACATTTATGATAGTCCTTCAATCTTTGTACCAGAATAAAATATTTATCTTGTGCTGTCCAGGTATCGATCACTACGGGGCTATTAATACTTCAGAACCGGGCAGTGGTAAGTAAATACTGGTATACTTTAAGAAATGCGATTGTATAGTACAACTCATATAATTAAGTCATCAAGGTTATGACTTCCAAATGCGTGCCTTATAAAGACAGGTTTGGTTAGAGGTATAACGTTGAAATCAATTTTCAGTGTCAGGAGCAGAGGGGAGCTGCCAATGGGATTTCAATGTCTGCAATGTCACTTTTTAAAACAATTGGTCCTGCAGCTGGTGGTTCTCTGTGAGTTGTTTCCTTTGTTGCTCTGTCCTCTCAATATATAGACTAATTATCTTGGAATGGCAAGTGTGGAGGAATGTGGGTAAAATAATTAAACTAAGAATTATCAGCTTAGTACTATAGTATATCTCCAACTATCAGCAAACTCTCAAATCTATAATACTCCCTATTATTTATCTTTATATAAAGAGATATTACTCAAAATGGGACTAAAAAAGTTTGGAAATTCCAAAATAGAACTTCCATGTTTTTATTCCCAAAATAGAACTAATTACCGACATGTTTTGGCAGTATCAGACTTCAAACATGGCAGTATTTTCCAAATTTGACAGTAATTAGTCCTATTTTGGGAATAAAAACATGACAGTCCTATTTAGGAATTTTCAAACTTTTTTAGTCCCATTTCGGGAACTTTCCCTTATATAAATTCTAACTTCACATATTTTGATAATACTTTTTTATCATGTTTTTTTTCAAAATAGGAATCATACCAATATTAGTACTTTTTATATACTTGTATTTAATTAAATAAAAACTCTTCCGGCGCCATCAACGGGCAAGACTTATCAGCCTTGCCAATAACTCCACACAAGAAACAGAAGCTTGGAAGTTTCCCATTTCTAAAATCCACACGAACACAATCACATTCTTCTTCCGAAGCTTCACTTAGCATTTGAGCGGCTTCGCTATATCAATCAAAACACGTATACGCATGTAAACCTTCCATGCCCCACCAAAAGTGTGCTCATCTCCACGAACAAATGCTCCAATAAAATCTCATAGACCCTTTGCTACACCATAGTTTGATTAGAGTCCTACATAAACATATTTTTAACTTGAAACACGAAAGGAATGGGAAAAAGTATTGAATAAAAAGAAGAATATTTCTATAAATATTACTACGTAGTAATGAACGATGAAATTTGAGTTTTTTTTTATAAAAGATAAATATCGAGTTAGATATATTTGTTAATTTGATAATGGTTGAAGATATATTACACTAAGCTCACACTAATGATTTGTTTGTATTTGTAGTCATCTTACTATTGTTGTAATGACACTTTTAGTACTCAGTATTTAAATTCTTTATTTTTAGTCATCTGCCTATTGACTATGGTGACAGATGATTGTGGTACCATATCTTCATTTTTTTTGACTTTTAGCCATCTGACTTTTGTAATGATGACATTATGATTTTTCTTGTCTTTGAATTCTCTCATAGTAGTTGGAGAACCAAAAGTGTTATTATTACAAGTATGGGATGAACAAAAGTATAATTTTCATCAAAACTATGTATTGGAAGACTAAAACAGAAAAAACTCAAATACTAATACCAAAAGTGTCTTATAAAATAAGAAAACTACGAAGATTAAAACATACATATGAGTATAACACTTCTGACTAACCATTTCAAACATTTTGTTTTTTAGGTTATCATGGTCACAAAGGCGACAAGATGCCAAATTTATGCCAGGTAAGCTACCAACTGATGAAACTGGATGTAAAGTTTTCTAAAGAAAAAAAATTCACACTTTCTCTTAAAATTATTCTTAAAGAATGTAATGTAATGTAATGGTGTGTTTATTATGATGATAATGCACGTGCAGGGGATCAACTGGTTTTCTTCGTCCTAAATGTGATTGAGTTGCTGGGGCTGGTTATGACCTTGCGGCCGTTTCTCCGTCTACCAGAAGAAACTTCCGATTTAAAACACGATGAGGTGGCACAAGAAATAATTCCATTGCCTGAACTACCGTAGTCCTCGAGAAATAATATGGACTTTTATATGACTCCATTATAAAGTCATATGATATACGGTATACGTCATCAGTGCATCACCACAACCATCCATTTTCACTATACGATCATCTATTGTAATCTCACTATAATAAATAGCTTTTATAAGGCCATAGACGAAGAATACTCTATTGGAGTCATATTGGGCTTGCTAGATTTTTGTAGTAAACTCACGCTAGAAGTTGCCATGGACGCCTTATTAATTGGTGCATGGCATATGCCAAGAGCTTTTAGGTTTCGTATTCCTTCCTTTATCATCAAATGCATTGTGATCAATTGATCATATCATCATCATCATCCAATCTAGAGCCTCCCAATAACTTTTATTACTTCGACTGAAAAAAGAGGGAGAGCACTTATGAAGTTGATTTCGACTTGAATAATAATGTTTGGCATTTAACAAATACTATAAGAGACTAAAAAGTCTAGCTAAAAAATAATGTTTGGTAATTGGAACACACGGCAATTGACGTTATTTATTGAGAAAGTTTTTTTAAATAAGATTAAGATATAGACGAAGTGTACAAAAACTGAAAAGACTACTTTTTTTTTTGTTCAAAGTAAGACTCATTCGTTTCTAATTGAGAAATTTTTATACTCCTAAAATAGAGAATATTATCTGAAAATAGGATTAAAAAGGTTTGAAAATTCCAAAATAGGACTACCATGTATTCCCCCCCCAAATATGATTAATTACTGCCATATTTTGGCAGTATCAGACTTCAAACATGACAGTATTTTTCAAACATGACAGTAATTACTCGTATTTTGAGAATAAAAACTTGACAGTCTTATTTTGGAATTTTCAAGCTATTTTAGTACTATTTCGGGAACATTCCCCCTAAAATATGATCAAACGATTATATTAGAAATAAAACGTAGTTATTCTTATTTGAGACTTTGTTTATGTTTTAGTCTAATGGAAACAATTTCTTTTATTACTGGATTGTATCATTTAATCAATTTATCATTATCTTGAATGCTTTTGGTGGGTAATTAATTACTGACTTGATCGGATGTGAGACGATGAAACACTTCGTGTATATACTGCTGATTCTACTTTTGGCATTACAAATTCTACACCAATTTCACATTTGGTCTGGTCCATGTACTTTATTTTATCTTCTCCGGTCACCTTAACCCCCAGAAATACAACAAAAATGTAGAAATTGTTACTAATGACTATATATAAACATTGACTGTGTGCCATTTTTTGAAACATCAGAGTTTGATTGCACTGAAATCAATGTCTATGCACATAAGTTGTTTATTTAAAATCAATTTATATACTTCCTCCGTTCTTAAATAAATGCAACGGTCAACATTTCACACTTGTCGAGACACAACTTTGACCATTAATATATATAAATTTATATTAGTAAAAAAATTAAAAAATTAGATATTGAAAATTTACAATGAGACAAATTTAACAATATTTTTTTCATAAAAATATATTCATACATTAATAAATAAAACGTAGTCAAAGTAGAATATATGAATAATGTAAAATTCCATATGTTACATTATTTAAGAACTGAGGTAGTATTTCTTTTCTATGCTTAATAATTTCGTCGAGGCCACAAACGCTTTACAGATCTGTTTTCCAGCGACTTTCCAAGACTCTCAAATTTCATTTTTTCAATTTTAAAAGATAATAATGGTAAAGATGATACGATGAATATAGAAGATGATGAGGATGAGAGGCGATGGAGGTAGATTGAAGTGGAAGATGATGAATATGATAAAGACAGAGATGATGAAGTTAGAAATGAAGTGAGGAAGGTAAAAATGAAGATAAGATGATGTAGTAAATGTGAAAAAGAGATATAGACCATAAAATGTAAAATTAGAACAAAAATGTAAAATATTTATAAAGTGGGCCAGGTTTGTGCAAAGATAATATAGGAATAACTTTTTTCTCTTTTGGTATGTATATACAGCTAATAAGTGGTGTGCATATTGGTGTATAGAACATTTTTTTTTGAAGAACAATTTTGTTTTCGAGAGAAGACTCAAAATAGACACCACGGTTACCTAAGAAGTTCAAATTGGACACTAACGTTTTAAAGGGACCAAATAAACACATGAGTCACTTATTTGAGTAACTTTTGGCCACCTAATACCATTTCAATTTAACGGTGTTTCCCAAAGTTAACGTTATGCGCTGTGGTGTGTTTCACGTCTCCCCTTCTCGCTCCACCTACTATATTCCCGTCATTTTCTTTTCTTCTAGTGCCTGTATGAGGATAGTGAATCAACTCAACAATCATCATCTTCTCGTCTAGTCTCTATATGATTCAACATGAGTGAGTAACTTTTTACACATCTCATCTTGTCGAATGAAATCTAATTCCTTATCTGACTCTTATGTGCCTGAAAGTAGGGGATTCCGGCGAATTGAACCCCCTCATGCCCAAGGCTACTGTGATTCGCTATTGGAAGACGGGGATACCCAATTGCCCACACAATTATTTCCGCCAAGTATGTCAGCTTTTCAAAGATGGCGGCTCACCAGTTTGCCCCTCAGCTAATTGGCTTCAGCTCCTCCGTTAATCTACTCAGCTTCGTTCATGCTAAAATGAGCACTCCTGATTATTCCCCGATTAAAAGATGAATCTGGGCAGAGGATGACACTTTTCCATTAATTGTTCAGAGAAAGAAGCATCCCACCGATTCATTCTACATTTCTACCGGTGTAGCAGCATCTCCGGACACGGAAAAAGTTTTTGAGTACCACAGTTGGCAACATAATTGACTAGAGCTTGCTGCAAAACCTATGACACCAGATCCATTGGTGTTTTTGACAACGACAATGGCCGGAAGACATGGAGCAGGGGTTAGGTTCATAATCTAAGAATTATAACATCGGCAATTAAGTGTTTGTGAACTACATAAAGAATGGCAATTGATATGTGAATGGATTAACAACTATGAGAGCAATTCCTTGATTTGGGTATCGTTTGTAGCTTTTGGGGTGGAGGGGATAAAGGGTTGTTGACAACTTAACATGGAGAGGATGGTTGTGACTTGTGGGTGGCCAAATGTTGCTCAAAAAAGTTGTTTATGTATTAAATTGGTCCGTTTAGAAGTTTTGTCCAATCCGAACTTCTTAAATAACCTTAATGTCATTTTTGATCCTTCTCCCTTTTGTTTTCTTTTATTGCCTAAAAATGGTACTTCTGAGCCCTACTCAGGAGCAGCAGCAGCAGAATGCAGAGGCTCCTGCACCCCATTGCGGAGTTCGTTATTGTGACATAAGGAGGTGTTTGGAACTAATTCTGATTCTGCTTCTTTTTAAAACAGAAGCAGAATCAGAATCAGATTTCAGAAAGTGATCTCCTCAACTTCTATAAAAACTGATAGCATAAGGACTTCTGCACTTGTATCCAAACACTTTAACTTTTGCTTTTAGTAGAAACAATTTCAAAAATCATATCCATACGTTCTTGGGGCATTGGTGTGTAGATGGAACAAATTTGTTTTCTTTACGGAGTACCAAGTACTTCGTATAGCTAAAAGTGGAACGCAGCAGCATGCAATTGCAGAGGCTACTGCACGGCTGCACCCCATTGCGGAGTTCGTTATTGTGACATTGGATACTTCTGTCAGTCTGTGGGAGACCGTATGGGAAGATCATATTATTAGGAATTTAATCAAATGGCCAATCCCAGAAGGACGCCGTTTTCCGTCTCCGGCAACAACCACCAACTGCCAATCTCCTCCACCCAAGCCCCGGCGGCGCTTGTGAACTCATTCTCGTCGTTCCTGAAGAAACCGCATGCTTTCCCTTTCCTGCTCTCTTTCTTCCTTCTCCTCACCTGGGTCTCCCTCCGATTCCAGCGTTCCTCAGATCATCTCCCGCCCAGGGAGTTAGGACCCGGATCGAAGGGACACCGTCACGGATCGTCCAGCGAAGACCGTTTCGCAAACCTCTTACGGTTCTCTGCATCTTCTCCGCTTATTGCCAAGGACAAGCGCGGATGGTTGCTCGACCCCATTTCGGTCGCCCTCGATTCTGCTATTCCAGGTCGCCCCTTCCGTTCTTCTCGTTTTTTTTGTATGCAATTATTCTGTGCATTCTGTTTGTCTCACCCATGTTAGAAATTGAATTGAGGGGGAACTATGAATCGGCTGATGCAATCAACTACCTTAGTATCATTGAACTGTCTTTCAATGGGAAATTCTATTACAGAGTAGTTATTAGTTCTTCCTGTAGCATGAACAATTTAGGGTTTCGTTATGTTGTCCCATTCTGTCAATTTTTGTGTGCAAAGTTTGTCTGCCAAGTGATTTGATTTCCAAGTTAATTTTGATTTGAGGCTTTTTGTGGAACCTAACTTGCATGGAAATGAAATGTTTGTTAAAACAGGCGGAGCAACAAGTTGTGCATCCATTCATGTGGGTGAGATCAAGCCCGGTGGTTTAAGGGGGAACCATAGGCATCATACGTGCAACGAGACATTTGTAATATGGGGAGCTCAAACACTATTCCGGGTAATAATATATTGCTTCATTATCATATTATTTTGGTTGCTGTCTATTTCAGTATTAGTACATAGAGTAAAAAAGAGTTTTATGGATTGTGTGATGAATCCGTAGGTTTAGGATGTTTTCTTTTGGACTGTTTTCAGTCCCAGACCAGATCAGACCAGACCAGACTTGACTTCCGTAGTTATAAAATACACAGAGACCAGACGTTTACCAAACCAGACCAGCAAATTTCAGTCCAAAAGAAAACACCCTTAGTTGTACGTATTACTAGACTTAATTAGTTACTGGTTGGAGATAGTGTCTTATAAGGCATTGATGCCAGCTCTTGTCCTCAAGACCTGAGAATTAGAGAGATCTCACATCAGTACTAAACTTTGTGTATGTGTCACATGTATCTAAGTATCTTTTGACAAGTATGTAATTTGACACCAGTGTAT